TTTATATAAAATAACTTAATAAATTTTTTAAAATTTATTTTTTAAAAAAATTTTTATAATTTTTTTTATATGAAAATTTTTTGTTTGTAAATTTAAAATTAAAATTAATAAATTACATAACAATTTTAATATTTTTTTTTTTACTTTTTTTTATATTTATGCTTTAAAAAATATATTATAAAGTTTTATTAATTTATAGACAAAAATATGTATTTTAAAAAATTCCAAAAAGTTTTGTTACATACTGTATATAAATTTTATAATTTTTGATTGTATAATTAAAGATTTAAAAATTAATAATATTAAAATTTATAACAAAACCATAATAAATTAATTCAAACTTTTGAAAACAACTGTAGATATAATAAATAAAAATTGATTTATATTTTAAAAATTAATATATTTTATATTAATTAATTACTTTTAATAAATATTATATTATTTAAAAATTTAAAATCAAATTCAATAGATAATATTTTTTAGAAAATTATAAAAATAAAAGTTATAAGAGGATTAAGACAATTAATAAGAAAAATAAGTTTTTTTAATATAACAAATTTTTATAAAATTTACTTTAAAAATAAAAATGTTTTTAAATATTTTATAATTAAAAAAATTTTTTTTTAGAAACTATTTGGCTATATATAGTAAAGATGTTTTTTAATTTTTTTTTATCATTACAAGTTAAGTTTTGATCAAAAAACTTTGTAAATATGAAAAAAATATAATAATAATTCTTTATATATTTTTCAAATTGTTTTAAGAATAATAGTAAAACATTATTAGTTAAACAGTTTAAAAATTTTTAATAATTATTTTTTTTATGTATAATCAAAGGATTAAAAAAAATATATTTTAATTTATTTATTACAATTATATATAAAAACTTATTATTGTTAAATTTTTAAATATTTATTTAATAAATGTTTTTAATAATTTTATTATATATACATATATACTGTATATCAAAACTTTTAAATATTTTAATATATCTAAATAATAAATTAAATAAATTATTTATTAAAACAATAATTATAAAAATTAAGTAAATATTAAATTTTAATAAAAAAATATAATAAAAGTTTAATTTATTAATATTGAAAAATTAACACAATATATAATAACTATTTTTTTAGTCTTTTAAAAACTTCAAAAGACCAAATTAATGGTAGAATTACTATAAATAGTAAGATCAACAATTCTACCACATGTATAGTAGTATAGTAGATACTGTCTATTGTAATTCCGATCGCTGACCTAATTGAACTAAGGTCTCGTGATCTGAAATATAACTTGTAATCACGAGACATTTCATACCAGCATAGAACGATTGGTTCAGAAATTTAAATTGAATGCATGAAAGAATATTTGATGAACCAATTAATTGTTTATGCTAGAACACAACATTTAATTAATTTAGCCAGAACATGCGTTAAACAAAAAGTGCGCTAAAATTGAAAAAGAAAAGAAAAATCTGTAAACATGGAAACGTCTACAATGTTAAGGCTTACTTTCGGTTTCACGCATGCTTGCATGCTTCGATTTACGACCTGAAGAAGAAAACTTTTATTAAAGATATATAAATTTTAGAATTTAGAGCCTTAGAATTTTAGAAAAAAAGGACAAAAGCTAGGGATTTGAATTTAAAGAAAGAATCTGAGTCCCACTCGGTATCGAACCACGGGATTTTTTTTTATTTATTGGTTTTATTTTTTTTTCTGGCACAAGACCGTTACGTACGCATGTTTTTTTGAGTAACCAGAAGAAACCACAACATCTGACCACCAAGAACAATAACATCAAAGAAAGTTCTCTCTTTCTTATACTTTTTGTTAATATTTCTTTCTTACACACTTGAAGATTTCTCTTCCTTTCCTTTTTTGTGCTGAAAGGTTTTTCTTTGCCTATTACCGTTAGATGCACAAATCGCAGCTTATCCATTAAGAAAGAAAGATTTACATTTTTCACCTAAAACACACGTTCCTTTTCGGAAAAAGGCCCAAGAAACATAAAATATACTTCAAATTGTATGGTATTTTTTTCAAAAAATCTGTTTTCAAAAAAACGCATCTCATGTCCGGTTATTTTTTCATAAAATCTCTTGCCGGAAAAAAATATTGAAATATATATTCGTAAAAGAACATTACTGTATATTTCGGTGCCGTATGCTTGCTTCGAGGTTTAATTTATGCAACACCAAATTTGAAATAAAGATTTTTACCGAAAAGAAACAATAGACCAACTTTGCGAGAAAATCATTCTTTACATATTCCTATTAACATTCCACTTCATCATTGACTTTATATTTCTCAAGTTGAAAAGGAATATCATGACGGAAACTCAATACTCAACCGCCTTTGACCACCTAAAACCATCCACAACTCAAAAAGATGAAGACAAATTAAATTTATCCTCATTATCCTCCATCACTACTCTTGACACTTCTTCCCCCTATAACACCATTTACACCACTGCGTCCGATAAAACTCTTACAGAAGAACCCGTGGTCTCAAAAGATCTCATCGATTCCGTTTTTAGCACATTCAGTGATAATTCGGTGGGTGATATCGATTTGAGTTTGAATGTGAGTCGCAATAGTCTCGGCAGCACCACCATCGTCGAAAAACGTAATAGTGTTAGTACAAAGCATAACAGTGTCAGTACTAAAACTAACAGTATCAGTAAAAAACATAATAGTGCTGTTAGTTATGATACAAATAGTAAATATATCAACAAATCTGA